TTGGGTACAGGGAGTCCAAGACTCAGGGTACACCGGCTGGCATTCCTACCCAGTGGCAACATTGTCTATCTCAAGGGACTATGTCCCGACACAAAATGCCACAGTCCAAGTCTCCCAGGACATCCTCCATTTGGAACAAGTCCTATATAATTAGGTAACATCATCAGAAAAGACCGAGACACCCTCAACCTGGATTCAAATAATCCAAAACGCTATAACCTTCCTAAATGACGCTTCTGGGACTCACACCTCCTCTTGTTTCCTCTGCGCTTCCCTTCAGAGGCCTCTACTGGCGGCAGTTCCAATTAATCTCAATACCACTATGACCAAGATAACAGACGCTGCTTGCCAGACTCCTCAACTCTCAGTCCCCCTATGGGATTCCAATCACAGCTGCCCCTGCTAGCAAACTGACGTCCTTGCCAGCTTTCATTCCTGTACTTCTAACATTTCGGTTAAGGAATAGACATCTCCTTAGAAAAAACCTCTGTCTTTAGCGTCATTACAAAGACAGGTCACTTCCTGGCACAGACCGCTCTCCAAAACGGGCGGGCTCTGGACCTGTTAACGTCTGATAAGGGGGGCACCTGTCTGTTCCTCAGGGAAGAATGTTATTACTGAGACAGGGCAAGCTAGGGTTATTAGGCAGTTTTAGGGACAGTGCAGTAGGGGACCTCTGAAGAATTTAGGGAGGCTTCAGAGATAAGGACAACCAAAGAAATATAACCAATTCCATTAGGAAAAACAAACATGCCAGGACCAAGGACAACATTGTTAATGCTGTCCTGGTTTCCTTCAGGTGGTAAAGGGAGGCGGAGATTGGAGAAATGGAGAGTGGTTTAATTTATGGACAACTTAGAAGGGCAGCTGTTTAACTTCAATGCAGGGAAGCCCATCCAGAGGACTGGGCCATACATTTAAAGATACAACAAATGGGGAAAGAGAAGGCTGTTAGATAAGGAATGTGAAGATCCCCACTCAGTAGCAAATTAAGTGAGACAGCCGAGAACTAACCAATCACAGAGAGACTGGTGAAGCTTTAGAATAATGAGGGAAAAAAGGTCTATATTCCCTGAAACACAATTCCACTTTGGCTTCCTTGCCCCTCCCAGGCCTGGTTCCCTGGCCTGGGAGTCCCACTTTATTTCTGCTCTTTTTCTCCTCAATAAACTTTTTCTTCTAAACGAACCTGCCTCTTCTCGCTTGCTTGCCTGAGCGTCTGCAAAGTTCCTGCTGCGGCTTCGTGAGACACCAACCCTGGGAGGTCTAGTGGCTGGGACTCAGCGCTGCCCTGCAGCCTGAGATCCGTTCCTGGCTGGGAGACTAGGCCTGACAATTCTGGTATCATTACTAGTAAAAGTGGGGGCTCCAACTCTCCGCTGACATGGTTTCAAAATCCTGTAGTGTCACGGCTCCTCCCACTCTTGGGGTCAATATTAATGATACCCTTATTTTTTCTTTTCACTCCTTGCCTCCTAAAATTCACACAGGCTCGCGTTCGGGAAATGTCTCGGACCACCTTGAACCAACTCCTTCTCCACCTGTATTCTCGCATCCCTGCAGAAGACCCTCATCACCAGGCCTGAGCCTCCCTCTTGGTCTTCGCCCCCTTCCAGCAGGAAGTAGCCAAAGAAAGCACCATGGCCCCTTTTCCTATCAACAAAAGGCTGGTATGAAAGGTCCATGCAGGAGGCTGGAATGCAAAAACCCACCAGGTAGCCCACCTGGGATCAGGAATGCTGAAGCCTGCCTGGAGGATTCAGACAATGAACCTCCCTCGCCCTACAAATCTTTTCTCAGACAAAGAAACTCCCCCCCCCCCTACAAAATTTTTCCCGCCATACTGTTGTAGAGCAGCCCCGATATTGAGCGGATTGCCTGGCTGTGGGTCCTCACCCGCGCGCTTAAAAGAGACTTATTAATACTCCAATACTGACATACAAAAAAGGTTAATAAAAGGTTTATTTACAAGGGAAAAGGAAATAAGGAAAATGTACAACTCAGGGAGAAAATAGGGAAATAAAGTCTTTAGTGTGTCCTACCCAATCCGTTGACCTGGAAACCCAAAGGCACTCTCAGAGCTGGCCTGACGCTGCTAGCTGGTGGAGAGCCAAAATGGGGGACCCCTCCAAAGCCCACGTGTCTGCCTTTATATGAACCTGGCTGCTTAACCCCACCCTCAGGTCCCAGCCACCTTCCCTTTGGTGGGGATGGGATTTGGAGTTCCCAGTGTCTTTGGCTTTGGCCTGGGGTGAGGGTGGAGTCCACAAAGCCTGTATGGAACTAGCTTTAGGACAACCTTTTCCCCCTAACAATACCAACCCTGTTTCCCACCTGACCACTTCTCACCCTATAAAAGCCTGCCTCCCCCTGACAACGTGTGCAGCTTCACTGACCCCCACCTTGGGTCCCTGAGGTCCGCCCTGGGCACAATAAATTTTCCCTTCCTTTGAGAAATTTAGCCTGGCTCTCCTTTTCTTTACTGCGCCAAACCTTTCAGGAGGGAAGAGAGGAAACTGGGCCACCATTGGAACCAGGAGCTTCAGGTTCTGAGCCTGAGTAGCTGGACACCCTTGGCTGGGTTGTTCCTCAGCTCCTTTGCAGCCACCCTGACAGACCCCCTAGGGCATTCAGATCAGCACCAAGCAAAGCACCTGACCCAGGATCCAGCCAGGGGCTCTAGAACCCCAGTCACTGCCTGGCTTCGCCCACCCGACCAGCCCCTCAGCCTCTGCAGAAGTACTTTCTTTTACAAATACCTATTGTGTGATTATCAGAAATGCCTCTTCCATCCTGGGCTATCAGTATGGCAAGGGACTATGCTGCCTGCCCCCAGCACCCAGGCTTGCAGCCTCCCTGCCTGCTGAGCTGCTCCCCTGCTTAAGCATTAAAGGCCTGTCAGATCTACCTAGGGCTCCAAATTCCTTTGCACCCCCTGAAAAACAATGAAGCTGGCTGGTGCTGCCAGTTTCAGGACTTCTCCCAAATCTATCTGGCCCGGCCCCCAGGCAGTTATTTTCTGAGTTGACTCCAGGGAAAGGAAACCACATGCAGGAACCCGGAAGTGGAGCTGCAGGGGGACTAGCAGCGATTTTGTTGCTGACTGCTCCGTGAGGACGGGAGGATTGAAGAAGTCCAGGTCAAGGTTTGCTCTGGGGTAGACTGTGAGTTCCTTGTCTGTGTGTCTGTGGGTGTGTGTGCCCTCACAGGGGTATTTGTTCCTGCATGTGCATGTGTGTGGTCCATAGCAATAAGGAGCTCACGGGAATCTGTGAAAGGTCAGGGCTTTGCCTTCTAGCTCTCTCCCACTGCTTTCTCTTTCCCAGGCACAGTGTCACATCTCAGATCAGTGTGTGAGGTCAGCAAGGGCAGGCACTTGGGGTTCAGGAAGGGCATCCAGGAGCACAACCCCAGGCATAAAGAAGGCTGGTGCAGCCCCTGGGAGAAATCACCTCCATGGGAGAGCAGTCTGCAGAGACATTTTCTAGGCTCTGAGGGCTAGTCCCGAAAATAGTGGGAAATAATCTGTCCAGTTCCTTATGTTGGATCTGTTCTTAGTCCCTGTGAGTGCAAAGGAAATGTCTCTCACTCCCTCCCTCAGCACCTCCCCACACATACCCAGCAAGGGGAGGGCAGCAGGGCTGGGAGCCTGAGCAGCTGCCACTGTGGGGAAGGGCAGACCCTCTGCTCTGGTCCCTGCTCCTCTGTCTCCAGCTCTCAGTCCTCACTGGTGGACACTGGGGGGTCAAGCACAAGGAGCCCACAACGGACAGGCCTTGCCCTCTGCTTCCTGCCTCCCCACATCCTGGTTCTGCAAATTCCCTCTGCCTCAGGCACCCTTCTTGTCCTGGGAGACCTGTCCTCCCCTGGAGGGAGACAGTCACCTCCCTTGTGCCCAGGGCCTCTGCTCCCAGCACCAACACCTTCTCTTGCCACCCTCTGAGGCTCTCTTGCTTTCAGTGTGGTCTCCATGGAAATGTGAATAACCTGGAGACCCTTTTTCTCCAAGGGTTTTAGTAGGGTCCAGAGAACCAGACAAGGGGGTGTGAACAGAGTCAAGTGTGATTGACCCCATGGACTCTGTTTGCCAACCATTCACCTCAGTGTTGGTCCCAGGACAAAGAAGGAACTCATAACTCGGGACTGACTCCTGTTGAAGCTCATCAGACATGGAGAGAGTTTTACTCTTCTCCATGAGTCCCCCCACTTTTTTTTTAAAGATTTATTTATTTATGCATACAAGAACGGGGGTACAGGCTAGAGGTAGGTGGGGCTCGGTTGAGAGGATTCAGCAGAGACAGAGTAGGGAGCAGAACATGCAGAATGACTGAAATACACTGCTGAGGGGAGCTGCGGGTGAGATAGGAGAGGTCTGCTGCACCATGTGGGTAGCTCCTTGGCTGTCCTGGGGTGGAACTCATATTGCAGAGGCTGCAGATAGCTTCACAGTGCTGTCCTTAACCCCTTGCGCCATTAGTGTCCCTACATAATTTCTGTTCTCTCATACAACTTTTGTGAGCTAACCTGTCTGCTTCTCTATCTCTGCTAGCACCTGATACAGGGCACTTTCTGCCAAGATGGAATGATTTTACCTGTCTAGCCCGGGGGCATTGGCAGACTTTAAGCACTGAATTATGGCTGATGGGACTGAAACATTGAATTCAAATGTTATTATTGAAATTTAATCTAAATTAAGGTGGGCAGGGCCTCTCCTGGTGGTGCTGTGGTTGAGCGCAGCGCTGTGAAGCTGTCCACAGCCTCTGCAGCACTGGTTCGATCTCAGCCAGCCGACAAAGGTCCCACATGGCATGGCAGACCGCTCCTGTTGCTCCCGCTGCTCCCCTCAGCAGTATATTTTGTCAGTCTGCCTTTTTTGTTCGCCGCTCTGTCTCTGGTGAATCCTCTTACCCTCCTACACGTCTGACCTGTACCCTGGTTCTTGTATAAAAAAATAAATTAATTAAAAAAAATAGATAAATAAATAAATTAAGGTGGGCAAATGTGACAGGTATCACCATATTCTACAACAGAGGAACATATGAGGCATCTTTCAAATTGCAATCCACTTATCTCTCCAGGGAGAAGACTTCAACACCTGCGCAGGCTCAGAGGCTCAGGTGAGGCTTCTGTCCTTCACTCTGGGATATCCTGGCGGATTCATCTCTGCCTGTAGATACGTAGTAGAACTTTTAGGAAGAGCCATGGCCTCATCCCCAGTGATGAGGAGGATGAGGAAGGAAGCCATGTGCTCCATCTGCCTGGAGCTGATGACAGAGCCCATGAAATCAACTGTGGACACAGCTTCTGCCACTAGTTCCCCTCCTTCACACAGCAGAGGCAGGGGCAGTGGTCACAAGACAGACCCTGTCTTGAGCTTGTTTTTGTCTGCCTGCTGCTGTGTGGGGGTAGTTGATCCCCTGTGCCATTCCCTAGTCTCCTTCCCAGGCCTTTGACAAGACAAACTCGGGATGAGCTATACCAGGTCCAGAATCATCTCCAAGACAGTGAGGGTGGAGGCAGATGCCAGGAGTCATCATGGGAACAGGGACCTCTGTCTGTGAATCTGATGCCTCAAGAGGGGCCCCTCCCTTCCCCATAAAGGGCATGCCCCACGCGCTGTGTCAGGTCACGATGAGATTTAATTTGTCCCCTCTGCTGTTGCTCTGAAGGAAGGGTGCTGTTCCTACCAGGCCCTCCAGTCAGGATTCCTGAGTGTAAAACCTCTGGCATTTTGACAAGTTTCCTCCCTCATCTGTCTGGACCCGCCCCCTCATCAGTTTCGTTTCTGAGTTGACTCTAGTCAGAGGAACTTCCCTTCCAGGAATCTGGAAGTGGAGCTGCAGAGAGACTCAGCGATTTTATGACTGACTGCCCTGTGAGGAGGAGTGCAAAGTCCAGGCAAAGGTTTGCTCTGGGGTGGACTGTGATTTCTCTGTGTGTGTGTGTGTCTGTGTGTGTGGTGGGAATGGGTGGTGGGTGGCAATAAGGAGCTCACCAACTGTGAAAACATAAAGGGAGGGAGACGGTCACCTCCCTTGTGCCCAGGACACAAGGGAGGCCATGGCTCTTCCTAAAACTTCTAAAGAGTATCTATAGGCAGAGAAAAATAACCAGGTTTTTCCAGAGTGAAGGACAGAAGGACCTGACCCTCTGAGTCGGCACAGGTGTTGAAGTCTTCTCTCTGGAGAAGATTTGCAACTCTCTCCAGCTCTCCTGCCCGTTGGGGTCTCCATGGAAACGGGACTAACCTTTTTCTTAGAGGGTTTAAGTGGGGTCCAGAGACCAACATGGGAGTTTGAGGACAGTCAAGTGGGACTGACCCCATGGACTCTGTTTGCCAACATTCATGTCAGTGTTGCTGGCAGAACATAGAAGTCACTCGGGGCTGACTCCTCCTGAAGCTCTCTAGACACAGAGAGAGTTTCACTCTCCCTCCCTGAGTTTTCTTCTCTCATACAACTTTTGTGAGCAAACCTGTCTGCTTCTCTATCTCTACGAGTACCTGCTCCAAGAACATCTCCTGCCATGGTGGATTGTTCTGTGCCTGCGTATGGGGGAATTGGCAGATATTAAGCATTGAATTATGGCTGGTGGGACAGAAACACTGAACTTAAGTTTCATTGAATTCTAATCAATGTAAACTGAATGGGGCAAACATGACAGGGATCGCCCTATTCTACCACACAGGGACAGGTGAGGCATCTTTCAAATTCTAATCCGTTATATCTCCAGAGAGAAGATTTCAACACCTGTGCAGGCTCAGAATCTCAGGTGAGGCTTCTGTCCATCACTCTGGAAAGTCCTGGCTGATACACCTCTGCCTATAGATACTTAGCAGAACTTTGAGGAAGAGCCATGGCCTCATTGCCAGCGATCAGGAAGATGAGGGAGGAAGCCACATGCTCCATCTGCCAGCAGCTGATGAAGGAGCCCGTGAGCGTCAACTGTGGGCACAGCTTCTGCCGCCAGTGCATAGACAATATCATTGGGCAGCAATATTTTGTGACATCTTTTATTTGGAGGGCTCGCTGTCCCCTGTGCCAAACATCACTTCAAAGGGAGAGTGTCCGACCCAACAAGCACCTTGAAAACCTCATTGAGCGCATCCAGGAGCTGGAGCGTGAGAGGCTGTGTGAGGAACATGGGGAGCAGCTCTGCCTGTTCTGTGAGGACGACGAGCAGCTCATCTGCTGGCGCTGTGAGCGCTCCCCCCAGCACAGAGGACACCGCACGGCTCTAGTGGAGGACGTATGTCCAGGCTACAAGGTGAGTGAGTGGCCAAACCTTTCAGCAAGTTCTTCCTCTTATGTTGCACATTTTCATTGAAATTACTTAGTCTGAACACCAAGATTGTGACTGCAAAAATGTTGTTTCCATCATGTTATTTTCTGAATAATAATTAATTATGATCCCAGTGAGTCAGGTCATCAGTCATTTTCTTCTTCTTTTTTTTTTTTTTAAAAGATTTATTTATTTATTTATACATACAAGCACTGGGTACAGTCAGAAGCACAGGAGGGTGAGAGAATTCACCAGAGCCAGAGAGGGGAGCAGAGCAGGCAGAGGACCGAAGCACACTGCTGAGGGGAGCAGGGGGCGGCAGGAGAGGTCTGCACACCATGTGGGACCCTCCTCCGGTGTCCGGGGAGCAGCCGGGGATCGAACTGGCGCTGCAGAGGCTGCAGGCAGCTTCACAACCCAGCGCTCAACCGCTGCGCCACCAGGGAGGCCCGAGGTCATCACTTTCTATGCTGAACTTTAAGGTTGGGCAGAACCTTTCCTGTAAGAATTTCCTGTAATGATTCCCCTGGACAATAGACTGTGCTCTTTGTCACACCTGCCTCATTCATGGCCTCACCTCAAATACGTAAGTGGAGATACCACAGCGTTCAAGAGCACAGGGAAGAATCTGAAATCCCAGAGGTCAGAACCTACACCTTCTTGATATCCCAGAGTCCACAAGGAGTAGGAAAAGGAACTCAGGACGCCTGACCTGCCTTGGTGTGGATGGTGAGGGGGGACACTAGGGGCAGGAATGAGTGTGTGAGGGGGAGACTTCCCTGAGTGAGTCCTGAAGGACACACACAATATCACCACGGGCAGAGTGTGGATAAGAGACAGGAAGCCAGATCAGGTGGTTCACTTGTCACGAGAGCTTGCCTGACTCTCCATGGCCCAGTCAGGGGGCTCGTGAGAGGAAAGGCCGTTGCGGGCATGGGAAAGGATGTCAGGAAGGATTGTTGGTATTACTCGGAGTCTATACCCCTCCCCAGAGCGGCCTGGGACAGTAGGACTTTATTTGTGGAGGGAAAGATCAGGTTGACATGTAAAAACACATTCTGCGTGGACAAAATAAACAACAAGGACAAAATCTAAGGATTGGAAATGGCAACAGGTGTGAGCATAAACTGGGAAGGGGAGTTAGGGTTTAAACATACTTGGTGGGAGGGATGAAGCCTTGAGAGACCTTTCAGTCATTTCCTATGTTTTTGACACAATAGCTTTTAACATAAGGGTCCCTTTGATGTGGAGGAATGAAGAAGTGGGATTCCTTCCTCTCTGCCCCTTTGACATTTGAAGTAACATCCCCAGTGTGGGGCTCTGAGTACCCTCATCACTGAGGGCCTGTGTATTGTGTGAAGGTTCTGGATCCTGTGTCAGGGCATGTCAGCCCTGACCATTGCTCAGTGCACTCACCTCTTCCTGTAACCCCATGAGCAGTCAGGGCTGTAATGGGGCAGGTCTCACTGCTTCTCCCCATGTCATCAAATAGGAGGAACACAAGGTGATGGGTGTAGCCTCAAGAGTCAGACTGCTGAGGTCAAATATTAGTTTAGCCTCCTCCGAAGTGGGCAACTGGGAGCAGCTCAGTTCTTGCTTCATGACTTGGTTTCTCCATGTGTAAATGGAGAAAAGGGCTGCCCCCTCCCACCCGACACACACACCAGGAGGTTGTCATAAGTTGTAAGGACATTCTCTAGGTAGAGTTGAGAATAGCACTGTGCTCATTGCAAAAGCAAATCAGTCTTTTGGTAAATAGTTTCTTGAGCATTATTTTGAGAGTGTTGTGATGTTATGAGTAATTTTGTGAATTTGCAGAGGCCAGGAGGCAATTCCTTTATTGTGGATGACAATGAGCAGTTTAGTAAGCTTCAGATCCCTTCTCTTGAAAATGTGAGGAAAGGGTGCCTTCCTGGTTGTACAGGGGTTCAAGACTCAATGCTATCAAGCTATCCCAGCCACTGCAGCATGAGTTCAATTCCTGGCCAGGAAGCAACCCACATGGTGCAGCAGACCTCTCCTCAGCAGTTTCTTTCAATCCATCTGCCTGTTCTGCTCCCCACTCTGTCTCTGGTGAATCCTTTCACCACCCCCCATCCCCCCACATCTCTAACCTACACTCCAGTTCATGTAGGCATAAATGAATAAAAAATAAATCTTCAGTAAAGAAAAAAGAAAGTGTGAGAAACTTTTGAATAAACCCTAGAGATGGATGTGGACACGAATCACTGTGAGTTGACGTCATGACACTGTTCTCCAGGTGATACAGGGCGCCCCCTCATGACCTGGTTCTATAACTTCAACTGCCATCCTGGGCTCTCCTTCCTGACTTGGCGTAACATGTGAAAAGTTCCCTATGTGTCAGGCACTGTGTATTATCTATGACGGGTCCAGCACGTTATTTTACAAAATTTGCTTTTAGATGATTTTAACCTTAAACGATGAGCAGCATTTTCCTAGCTGACTGTAGTGCGGAGTTAGTCCAATCCTTAGTTCCGCGATGAGCTGGGAATCACATCTCTGCCACCTACCAGTGATGGCCCCTTGGGCAGGTTACTGCTCCCTTCCTAAGCCTCCACATCTACAGCACAGAAAGATGTTACAATCCAGCAACTGCTCAGGGACTCCTAGGAATCACTTAATACTACTGCCCTCATGTTGCTTCCTCGCAAAGTGTAAGGTTCAATGTTATTGTACTGCTTGGAGGTTGGGATTCCCTGTAAGTACCAAATGAAGATTTGATATGGATTAGCCAGACCTCACTCAACATTTCCTGCAGGACAAGCTCCAAGGCATTGTAACAAACCTGAAGGAAACTCAAGACCACTGTACCAGTGCGAAGTTGTTCATGGCAGAGCAAATAACTGCATGGAAGGTAAGAATTGGAGTTTAGTGATCACAAACTATTTTTCATCCTGAATTCAAGTATAGGATATGACTGGGCAAAGTACTCATTGATAGTTTATTCTCATTAAACCAGTACAAATTGCTGAGCCCCAAAGAATATGCCAGTTTTTTAAAAAAATAATTCCTTTAGTTGTCTAATCTAGGAGAATTTCCCTCTACTTTCTTCAGCCTTGCAGGAGTAAAGTGCTAGGCATCCCATCACCTCAGTCAGGAGAAACAAAGCTGTTGTGCCCCTGACCTTCAACGGGCTTCACATTTTCAATGACTGAAATTACCTCCTGTCTGAAGATCGTGAACTCACCTGCGCACATTTACCAGAGTACAGGGTCAGACCCTCTACCTTCCTGGTTGCAATACCACCCTAAGGGAATAACAGGACCAGTGCAGAAGACCTTCCCATAACTCAAGCTCGTGAGGTTGTGATGAGGATAGAGCTCTGCAAGACTTACACACACTTGCACTGTAGACGTTGGGTCTCTAAGACAGTGTCCGTGGCTGACCAGCCCCTGCAGGATCAGAGACACATTCTTTTATGGATATGGATGTAATCCATCATTTAGTAACCAAATTCCCCAGATGTGTGAGCCATTTTGCCTCTTTCAGTTTCTCTTCCCACCTTGACCTTGCTTCTGTGTGAGTGGATGTGAAATTGACTCGTCCATCCCTCATTTCGAGATCCTTGGAAGTTGGAGGACCATACTTGGAAATAACAAGTGAAGATTCCTGACACTGTAGGTGCTACAACTGCCTCTGTCTCCTCATTCTGGAATATTAGGTCATAGGGAGAACTTCTATTGCTACATACCATATAAGGAAACCATGTCAATGCCAGAGTCCAGCTGTCCCAGGTCTCCTACAAAAAGTTCCGCTTCAGGGCCTCCCTGCTGGCTCAAGGAGATAAGTCTCAGACAGTGAAACTATTGGTAGCCACTGCAGCATGAGTTCAATCACTGGACAGGGAGATGCACAGCAGACCTCTTCTGCCTCACTGGCTGCTACCCTCAGCAGTGTATTTCAGTCAATCTGCCTGTTCTCCCCACTCTGTCTCTGATAAATTCTCTCACCTATGCACCTCTGGCCTACACCCAAGTTCTTGTATGCATAAATAAACAAAATCGTTGAAAAAAAATTCCACTTCATCCTAATCAATACTCCATCTACCATAATATCACAGTCACTAAAGCACTGTTGGAATTGAGAAAGCACAGATATAAATTGCAATTCCATATACCACAATAAAACCTGTGTTACACATAAAGATGAAATATGAATCCTGGTAGGTGCAATAATATATCTGGTAGCTCTTCAGGCTTCCCCTATTGAGTGTTATAGACTCTCCTATGAGCCTGATGACTTAAATTCAGCATTGGTTATATTCACTATCAGCGTTTAGTTGAAGAAATTCTCTCAGAACATATATATAGCATGTTACTTGCCCATAGTGCTTGGTTTTATCTTCATAAATGATAAGTTACTTGCTATTGGCCAAATTCCATTATTCTCCTGTTTAGCATTCCGGGAACATCTTCTTCTGCATCGTGGCTGGAGAAAAAGGAAATGTACCAGGTGGCTGCAGCTTATGATCACCTTCCACATCAGAGTGCAGCCTTTAGGTCATTTCTAGTGTACAGTCCAGTGGCATGAAATACATTTACTTGCTTTGTAGCCATCACCATCCTCGTCTGCAGAACTATTTCAGCATTCCAAATTGGAGACTCTATGTCCATGAACAATAACTCCATTGCTCCCTCCTTCCGGCTTGAGGGCCACCGAACTACTTGTTGTTTCTCAATTTGATGAGGGCCCACATATGAGAGGACTCATAGGGTCTTTCTCTTTTGTGCTTTGGCTCATGTCCCTCAGCATGAATCTTCAAGATACGTCCAGTTGGGCACATGTCACAGTTTGCTTTCCTCCTAGGGGTGAGCAGATTTGCACTGTGTCTCAGTCCTACCTGTGTTTACTGACTCACCAAAGAGGTATGTTTGGTTTGTTTCCCCCTTTTCTGCCTACTTTCTTGATTCTAGGAGAACATAGAGCTTCGGAGACAAGAAATCAAGTCTGAGTTTTGGAATCTCCACTGCTTCCTCCATGAGGAGGAGAGGGCTTATCTATGGAGATTGGAGAAAGAGGAAGAGAAGCTGCTGGGGAGACTGCAGGACAGTGAAGCCAGTCTGGACAATCAGAGTTGTGAACTGGAGAAGCTCGTCCTGGAACTAGAGAAGAAATGTCAGGGCTCAGCCCAGAATTTATTGCAGGTGAGGGAGGCTGTGAAATTGGAGGAAAGAAAGAATGTCTGTTTCTGATCTATTGAGAGGAGAATGTCGAGGGAGCCTGGGAAGTTTGGCGAGTCCTCTCTGCCTCATTCAATATTTAAAGTAATAAATGTTGAAGGCTATAGCAGCAGCAGTTCTTTTGCCCATTTCTGTCTATGCAAGTGTCCTTTACTCTTCTCTCCCTTTTTATTATAAACCTCCCCTTTGGAAACCAAAGAAAAGATCCATATCAATGTCAGCTGGTGGCCTGTGCAGGTATCCACAGGGGCAGTATGTGATTCAGACACCAGCTTCTCTGGGTGGAATGTAGGTTTCTTGGCCATATGGAACCACAGAATAACCTTCATCCCATTTATTCACCCTTGTCAGTTGTTCATGGAACCTTCACCCCATCTCTTGAAAATGACTGGTGGTATAGAGAGGGGCATCCAAAATGAATGATAACCTTCTCCTGAACCACTTGTCTTGGGCCATGAGCTCTTAGGGAACCTCATTTCAGCTGCCTGGAGCTTCCAGCTGGTGAACATCAATGCCTGGACTCCAGTTGCTGTTGCAGGACTGGTGGTTGCACTGTGAGGGTGAGGATGTAGTGTGATAGCGCCCTCAGCAGGTGACATCTGCTGCCTTGGCCTCAGTGTCCCAGAGCCAGGGTCTGGGCATGGATTCCCCACTGAGGACCTTTGTCATAAGTAACAAAGGTAAGATGGGCTCCTCAGAAGGAAATTGTATCACTAATAGCAGAAGGAAATGCAACCTTGCTCCTGGCCTCTTCTCTAATGTCACGGGTTAATGTAAATGAAGACTCCATAACTCCCCCCAAGCCTGAGTAAGTGTGATCACATACTTACACACACTGGCAGTGACTATCCTAGGAGACTAGGATGGGAATCTTTCAACCTGGGTATGTGTGGGTGTCTCAGGCTGGGTCACTCTACTTCCTGAGATGGAGTGTTCATAGCAAGTAGCCCCATGTTTCAAGTGACACAAAATACTGATTTCCCCACACTCACATTTGTCTTTGTTTTCACTGTAGGGTGTGAAAGACACATTAAACTGGTGAGTCTGTATGAATGTGGGAGTGTGAGGATGTGGGCAGTTGTGTGGCTACCCAGAGCTGAATGGAATGTCCCCTGTTCCTTATAGGAATTCAGATGTGAAGCTGAAATTGCCAGAGATCTTCTGTTTGGAGCCTCAAACTGTGTGCCATGTTTCTGAGCTTTACTTTGATGTGAAGAAAATGTTAAGGCACTTCCAAGGTGTGTGAAGTCAACAGTTCCCTTCATGCTTTACATAGAATGCCCCTTTGGTGGCAACTAACTGAGCAGCTGTCCCTGGATAGACTCAGAGACAGAGAGGCTGTTTAGCTGTTCTCAGTGGAGCTGGAGCTCTCTACCTTGTGGATAAGCAGGGATGTAGCTTCCCTGTTAACTCTTCAGGCTCTTCAAATTCCTTCTCTCCCAGACTAATCACCTGCTCATTCTCCCCATCTAAACAACAATATAGAAGATTTCACTTCCCTCACTTATCATGACATTTAACAGCATCAATGTATGCAGTGTTTAGAACATTTATTACAATTTCATTAAACTCTCAGCAATGCAAGAAAGATAGATCAGTATTTTAAACTGTGATGAAAATGGTTTTAAGGCCTTGACTCCTCTAAATGTTAGAATCCTAATGAAAGCCAGTATGACCAATTCCAATCCTGAGCTTCCAATCCCTTAGTTCTTACTTAGTATTTGTCATTTTCCATATGTCCACAATTAGATAATTAGATAATAAGTTAAATATTATTAAAAAATTCTTTAGGCTGTAAAATCAGAATGAACCTGACAGAGGCCAAACCAGAATTGATTCCACTGGTGTGCTGCTATTTTAAGTATGTATTTTATCCCACCAGGTTATTTCTTTAAAGATTTATTTATTTACCCATACTAGAGCTGGCACACAGGCCAGAGGTGTTGGGGGGGCGGTGGAAGGATTCACCTGAGACAGAGTGGGGAAAAGAACAGGCAGACTGACTGGAATACACTGCTAAGGGAACAGTGGGCGAAACAGGAGAGGTACTGTGCATGTAGGTTGGCTCCCTGGCCAGCCATGGATTCAACTCATGCTGCAGAGGCTGAGGATAGCTCACAGTGCTGTGCTTAACCCCTTGTGTCCCGAGGGAGGCCCAAGAGTCATCTATTTTCTATTTAGGTTGCTTCTGCAGGGATTTTTCCCATATCTGCCCATTGTCATTTATAAGCATTTTGATTGTGTAATCTTACCATTTTTATTGGTGTTTTTATTACTGTATTACACTGAATTACATTCAAGTAACCGGTCTGTGTAACATAGATCTACAGATATATGTTCATTCTTTCAATCTGACTAGTCTTATTCATGGCTACATAGTCCATGTAGAAAATGTGATGTAAACTGCATTTTCTCTACTTATTAATCGCTGGTATTTTCATTTGTCTATTAAATTGGTCTGTTTGAGGGCCTCCCCAGTAGCTCAGCGGGTTGAGCGCAGTGCTGTGAAGGTGACCGCAGTCTCTGCAGCAACGATTCAATTCCCGCCAGCCAAGGAGAATCCCACATGGGGAGGCGGACCTCCCCTGTCTCGCCCGCTAGTCTGCTCAGCAGTGTATTTCGTCAGTCTGCCTGTTCTGTTCCCCACTCTGTCTCTGATGATTCCTCTCACCATCCTGCAACTCTGGCCTGTACCCCAACCTCTTGTATAAATAAAAAAATAAGAAAAAAAAAAATAAATTGGTCTGTTTGAACTGTCTTAGTCTTCCCCAGTTTAGTGATCTTTTTGGCCAGCCTCACACTTAAGAAATCACACTCCTGTTGCCTCCCTGAGACGCAAGGGGTTAAGAAGCAACCTATAAAGCTGTCTGCAGCGACTGCAGCATGAGTTCGATCCCCAGCCTGGGAGGTAACCACATGGTGCAGCAGACCTCTCCCAACTCATCCTCTGCTCCCCTTAGCAGTGTATTTCAGTCAGTCTGCCTGTTCTGTTCCCCACTCTGTCTCTGGTGAGTCCTCTCACCCATACTCCTCTGGCCTGTGCCCGAGTTCTTGTATGTATAAATAAATAAACCTTTAAAAACAAACAAATTACACTCCTGGCCAGTATCACGCTTAAAAGATCATTATTTTTTTTATTTTACTTATACTAGTCAGATCCTTTTGATGTGCGTTATTCCAGCATAAATTGTATCACTTTTTACTCATCCCTGGGACAATATGGACTATCATCTGCAGCAACATAAAAGACTTCACACCAAAATTCATGGGTCTGAGAGGTGCTCTGAGGGCTGAATAGAATACTGGGATCTGAGGTAACTGTTTCAATAACAAAATATGGCAGGACCTATGTTATTTTGCTTTCTGATAATCAGTGTGAAAGGTTATCACTAAAAATGGGGATAAGCTTCTTTTTTGCGTCAATATTCCATGATTCTTGGTGGCCCTACACAGGGGATAAGGGTTGTGGAGAGGACAGCAACCACTCTGGTTAGTCAGTCCCTTTCCTTCTCTGAGGGACTGAGTTGGTGATGGTGACAGTGATGGAGAGGATATTACTTCCACTTATTGCTTACTTACCAAATGCCAGGAACTTCTCCAAGCAGTAGGGTGCATGAGCTCCTTCAATCCTCCCGACCGTTACTGTGGCGGGTATGATGATGTCGTACTATAGCATGCAGAGTCTTAGAAAGTGACTCACAGAGCTAGAAGAAGTAGGCAGCACCTGAATCCAAGAAGGTTGTACTTGAAGTGCACTGTCTTCTCAGCAAATAAAATGTGTCTTTCTCTTTTATCAGTCAGCGTGACTCTGGATCCAAACACAGCTCATCGTGAACTAATTCTGTCTGAGGATCGGAGACATGTGACCCGTGGAGGCAGACGGAAGAAGCATATCAGTTCTAAAAGATTATGTTCCTTACCCTGTGTCCTGGGCTGTGAGGGTTTCACCTCAGGAAGACATTACTTTGAAGTGGACGTGGGAGAAGGATCCGGGTGGGACTTAGGAGTTTGTCTGGAAAATGTGCACAGGGACAGGGACATGACCCCAGAGCCTCAGTCTGGCTTCTGGGCCATCAGACTCTGCCAGGAGAATGGCTACATGGCCCTTACCTCTCCCCCAACACCCCTTTCATTGAGGGAGCGGCCCCTGCTAGTGGGAGTTTTTCTGGACTGTGAGGCTGGACTTGTGTCCTTTTACAATATGAACACTGGCTCCCACATCTTCACCTTCCCAAGGGCCTCCTTCTCTGGTACTCTTCGGCCTTATTTCCTGGTTAATCATTCTTCTTCTTTGTTCCTCCCTCCACCCCTGGAGTCAATTTAAAAGAGTCTCTTTGTTTCCCATTGTAGAAATATAACGTCAGTCCTATTAGGTCAGGACTTGGTCTATTTTGTCATTTGCTCTTTCCCTTTACCTGAACTGGCGCTGAGTTCACAGTGGACACTCAGTGAGTGTGCCATGACTGCTGGACACAGCCACTGTGCAGACAGCACAGAAGATCAGCCTGACCGGCGGGGAAGCGAGAGAACAGCAGGGTCATCCCTCATACTCAACCCCTGTCACTGGGTCACATCTCTGACCTGCCAGGGTCCTGGTCTCACGCTGGTGTCTGGCCTCTTCCATTTCATGTCAAGTTTTCACGCTCCATCAATGTTGTAGTTTGGGTTAGTAGTTGCTTCTGTTTCTGGACAAAACATTCCACTGTATGGATATCACACATTGTGTGTTCCCGTTCATCAAAGGATGGACATTGGTTGTTTCCACTTTGGGGAGAGTTCAAATGATGCCATTGAGAACAGTGCTGTACAAGTTTTTGTGTGATTATGGTCAAATTTGGAGGTTTATACCTAGGAGTAGAATTGCTACTTCCTGTGATAATTTGTTCAACTTTTTTTTTTTGAGATTTATTTATAGAAGAACTGAGGTACAGGCCAGATGCGATGGAGGGTGAGCAGATTCACCAGAGAGAGAGCGGGGAACAGAACAGGCAGGCTGACTAAATACACTGCTGAGGGGAGCAGCGTGTGTGACAGGTGAGGTCTCCCGAGCCATGTGGGACTCCGCCGGCCTGCCAGGATCCAACCGGTGCTGCAGAGGCTGGGAGAGCTTCACAGTGTGGTGCTCAATTGCCTGCTCCACCAAGGGAGGCCCAAGTTGTTCGTCTTTTTAAGGAACTGTCTGTTTTCCAAGGATGCTACAACATAGTATATCCTCACATGCCATGTATGACATTCCAATTTCTCTACATTTTATTGTGGGTATTTTTAAATGTAACTATGCTAATGGATGGTAAGTTCTATCTCCTTGAGATTTTGTTTTTTTCTGGCTTTTGCATTTTCCTAATGAGTGGTGATGGTGACAGCTTCATGGCTAATTGTGTGTCTTTTTGGAATTATCTCTTCACATACATTGCCCATTTTAGTTGGGTTATTTGTATTTTGGTTTGTAATAACTTCTGTATGCTAATTACAGTTCTAGGTATGTCCCTTATCAGCCTAATAATTTTAGAAACTTTCTGTCATTCTCTGAGTTGTCTTTTACATTCTTGATGGAGTCCTGTGAAGCTCACCTCAGTATCGTTGTTATATTGAACTTTTATTGCTTGTGCTTTGGTGTCATCCAGGTAACCATTGGGAACCCAAGGGAACAAGAGTTTTTCCCTCTTTTCTTCCAAAAGGTTTTAACCATTTCAGTTCTTACACTTAGATCTTTGGTTCATTTTGGGGATCCAGTGATCTGTCCACTCCATTCTTTGAATTTCTCCATCCTACACTCCTCATACACAGGAAGGGATGCACTGAGGGAGGGACTACCTCTGGCCTCCCCTGAGCTGTCTCAGTACATCACACAAATCACATGAAGCACTGGGCTCTCCCCACTTAGGGAACATGTCTCTGAAGTCTCTTCTGCCTCCCCTCCCCTCTCAGACCTGAGCTCTGCATGATCCCCTCCCTTACACAGCAGGTGCCAGGGGGGCAGTGGTCACAAGACAGACCCTGTCCTGAGCTTGTGTATGTCTGGCTGCTGCTGTGTGGGTGTGGTTGATCCCCTGTGGGGTCCCTCAGCTCCTTTCCTGGTCCTTTGACTATGGGGAGCCATGCTACTCATGTCGTCTGACAAAAGTCCAGGCATGGGGCAGATTTCTGAAAAATCAGGAATCTTGTTAGCTGACTCCAAGATTCTCCTCATTTGTTTATGGCTAGTTTCTACCATTGCTAAAATACGCATTTAAAAGTAAAACTGCAAATACTGATCAATCACTGAATAACCCTTTTGATGACAAATGGCACTGCATGATACAAATATCACATTTTTTATAAAATTAGTAGTTATCTGCCAAAAGGCAGCAATTCAACATTTGGCCTTACATTAACAAATTAAAAAAAACTTCTGGGAACAAAAGGCTGTAAACATCCCTAGGCCAAGTCTTTGATATGGAGATGTGGTCTTTTGAGGCAAGGGCTAATTGGAGAAGGAAATTCCTTTACTTTAAAGTAAAAGATAGCAGTTGGGTGGCAGAGGAGAGCCATGCTCCAAGTGTAAGAAAATTCCTAATAAACCAGGAGGCGCCATAGCTGACTCCTGCTAAATTCTTCCTGTTTGTTTAGGGCTAATTTCCCTGGAGGTGACAATTGGTATGGTAGCTGTTAGAGTGTGCATTCAAGAATAAGTCAACAGCAATTTTGTGACTGGTTGAGCTAGTACCATGGCAGCACAAATAATGCACTTGGATATGGTTAATGTTACAACTACTGATATGTCACCTATCGACCATTTTTGAGAATCAAAGGCTATAACCATCTCTGCTCCTGCCCCTGGTGAAATATTTGTAGTTCCTTAAAACAACAACCAGCAATCTTATAGATAAGGAAATTGTCTCTTGATCTTAAAGTTAAATATGGAAACTAGGCTGACTAGATAAAGTAGAGGAGTAATAAGTAGAAAACTCTTTGTTTAGATTAGGAGACTTTCTCCCTCAATTTGTTAGGGGAAAAGGATGTCCTAAAGCTAATTCCATACAGGCTTTGTGGACTCCGCCCCCAATCCCAGGCCAAAGCCAAAGACACTGGGAACTCCAAATCCCATCACCACCAAAGGGAAGGTGGCTGGGACCTGAGGGTGGGGTTAAGCAGCCTGGTTGGTATAAAGCCAGACACGTGGGCTTGGGGGGGTTCCCCCGTTTTGGCTCTCCGCCAGCTCTCAGCATCCGGCCAGCTCTGAGAGTGACTTTGGGTTTCCAGGTCGGCAGATTGGGTAGGACGCATTAAAGACTTTATTTCCCTATTTTTTCCCTGAGTTGTACATTTTCCTTATTTCCTTTTCCCTTGTAAATAAACCTTTTATTAACCTTTTGTGTGTGCCTGTAGTGGAGTATTAATAAGTCCCTTATAAGCGCGCGGGTGAGGACCCACAGCCAGGCAACCCGTTCAATATCGGGGCTGCTCTATAACAAATTCACAGCTGGGGCTAGGGAAGAGTCAGTGCCGCTTGCCTGGCATTAACGCCCTCCAGGCACTTGGTTCCTTAATATCAAATCAATATAAAAGCAATATACTATAGATGATGATTTCTATATAAAAGCCTTCTGTTTTTTACTTTAATCAATTAGTTATACGTTAGTCTAAACTTTATAGGTTAGTTAGAAAAAATCCCTTTGTTTCCCCTCCCCCAGGTAACTTCCTGCCCTTTGTCTCCCCAGCCCTTAGTTAATCCTTCAACATGGCAAACATAGAAATGTTAGTTACAGTCATGTAAGCCTTTTGCTAGTAATAAAATTGTTAGGGGGAAATGATGTCCTGAACTAATTCCATACAGGCTTTGTGGACTCCACCCCCACTCCAGACTAAAGCCATCAGGACATTGGGAAAGACAAATCCCATCACCACCAAAGGGAGGGTGGCTGGGAAGTGAGGGTGGAGTTGGGCAGCCAGGTTGTGTATAAAAACCAAACACGTGGGTCTTGGGCTGGCTGGCTGTCACTCGCCTCCTGGCTACACAGCTCCTGGCTGGCGGCCAGCTCTCAGAGCGCCATTTTGGAATTCCTGATCAGCGGATCGGGTAGGACTCATTTAAAACTTTGTCTCCCACTTTTCTCCCTGAGCTGTACATTTCCTCATTTCCCCTTCCCTTGTAAATAAGCCTTTATTAACCTTACGCGTGTGCCTGCAGTAGAGCATTGATAAGTCCTTTTAAGTGTGAGGGTGAGGACCCACAGTCAGGCACCCCGTTTTGTATCGGGGTTGCTGTACAACAAAATGACTGGTTGTTTAAGGTAAATGACTATTCTAAGAACACTTTTGTTTAGCAACTGTGTCTTCTTTAAAACAAAGAATAATAAACATCACGACCTCTGCAGGACTGCAAATAACCCCTTGGCTGTTCTTGAGAAAGATGTGATGATTGTTATCTTCCTGCCTTAATGCATATGCTTATGCACTCTCCTGGTTTGCTTGAAATGTATAAATAAAGGCTGCTGAGACCCTCAGCAGGATGATGCCTGCACCCTGACTGAGTGTCCCTGTCTCCTCATGCCCCTTCCCCATCCCTCAGGATTTCGCCGAAGCCGTCCCTTCCTTCAGGAACCCCTGACACCGACTGCTGCGGCTGGCTCACAACATTTGACAAGACAGCTCAGGATGATCTGTGCCCAGTGCAGAGTCTCATCCATGACAGTGAGGGTGGAGGGATATGCAGGTAGTCATTATGGGATCAGGAACCCAGGGGGGCATTCTCATCTCTCTTGAGCTGGATGCCTCAGGAGCTGGTGTGTCCAGTTCCTTTGAGGGGCCTGCCTGCAGGCTGTGCCAGGATGAGATGAATCTTCAGGCTTGAATGGCAGAGACTCTGGGAGCACCCAGGAGAGTGCAGAGACTGAGAGATTCCTCTTGGGAAGGAAGAGAAGAGCCTGGGCCACCATTGGGACCAGCAGCTTATGAGCCTGAGCAGCTGGACACCCTTGGTTAGGTTGTTCCTCAGCTCCTTTGCAGGTCAGCTGCCCTGACTGACTCCCTAGGGCATTCAGATCAGCACCAAGCAAAGCACCTGACCCAGGATCCAGCCAGGCAGCTCTAGAATCCCAGTCACTGCCTGGCTCCTCCCTTACCTCACCAACCCCTCACACTGCAGAAGTGATTTCTTTTACAAATGTATATTGTGTGATTATCAGAAATGCCTCTTCCATCCTAGGCTATCAATATGGCAAGGGACTTTGCTGCCTGCCTCCTAGCCCCCAGGTTTGCAGCCTCCCAGCCTGCTCATCTGCTCCCCTGCTTAAGCATTAAAGGCCTGTTAGATCTACCTAAGGCTCCGAATTCCTCTCCCTCTCCTGAATAACAATGAATCTGGCTGGTGCTGCCAGTTTCAGGACTTCTCCCAAATCCATCTGGCCCCGCCCCCACCAGTTTCCTTTCAGTGTTGACTCCTGGGAAAGGAATCCACAGGCAGGAACCCGGACATGGAACTGCAGGGAGACTAGCAGCGATTTTGTTGCTGACTGCTCCGTGAGGAAGGGAGGATTGAAGTCCAGGTCAAGTTTTGCTCTGGGGTGGAATGTGAGTTCTGTGTCTGTGTGTCTGTGGGTGTCTGTTCACACAGGGTGTTTGTTCCTGTGTGGGCGTGTGTGTGTGGTCCCTGGCAATAAGAAGCTCACTGGAACCTGACAATGGTCAGGACATTGCTTTCCAGCTCTCTCTCCCTCTGCTTTCTCTTTCCCAGGCACAGTGCCACATCTCAGATCAGGGTGTGAGGTCAGCAAGGGCAGGCACTTAGGGTTCAGAGGAAGGGCATCCCCAGGAGCACAACCCCAGGCATAAGGAAGGCTGGTGCAGCCCCTGGGAGAAATCCCCTCCGTGGGAGAGCAGTCTGCAGAGACGTGCTCTGGCTCCGAGGGCTAGTCCTGAAAATAGGGGGAAATAATCTATCCAGTTCCTTGTGTTGGATCTGCTTTTAGTCCAGGTCCTGTGAGTGCAAAGGAAAGGTCTCCACTTCCTCCCTCAGCACCTCCCCACACACTCCCAGCAAGGGGAGGGCAGCAGGGCTGGGAGCTGGAGCAGCTACAGCTGTGGGGAAGGGCAGACCCTCTGCTCTGGTCCCTTTGTTATAGGGCAAGCCCAATATAAAATAAAATGGGTTGCCTGGCTGTGGGTCCTCACCTGTGCGTTTAAAAGGGACTTATTAATACTCCACTACAGGCACACACAAAAGGTTAATAAAAGATTTATTTACAAGGGAAAGGAATTAAGGAAATGTACAACTCAGGGAGAAAATAGGGAAATAAAGTCCTTAATGCGTCCTACCCAATCTGCCGACCTGGAAACCCAAAGGCACTCTCAGAGCTGGCTGCACTCTGTGAGCCGAAATGGGGGACCCTCCAAAGCCCACGTGTCTGGCTTTAATACCAACCTGGTTGCTTAACCCCACCCTCAGGTCCCAGCCCCTTCCCTTTGGTGGTGATGGGATTTGGAGTTCCCAGTGTCTTTTGGCTTTGGTCTGGAGTGGGAGGGTGGAGTCCACAAAGCTTGTATGGAATTAGCTTTAGGACATCCTTTCCCCCCTAACACCTGCTCCTCTGTCTCCAGCTCTCAGTCCTCACTGGTGGACACTGGGGTTCCCGGACAAGGAGCCCAAAATGGACAGGTCTTGCCCTCTGCTTCCTGCCTCCCCACATCCTGGTTCTGCAAATTCCCTCTGCCTCAGGCACCCTGACCTTGTCCTGGGAGACCTGTCCTCCCCAGGAGGGAGACAGTCACCTCCCTTGTGCCCAGGGCCTCTGCTCCCAGCACCAACACCTTCTCTTGCCACCCTCTGCAGCTCTCCCACTGGAGTAGGGTCTCCATATAAACTGGAATAACCTGGAGCCCCTTTTACTTTGTAGCAATTTGTGGGGTCCAGAGAACCAGACATGGGGGTATGAGGAGAATCAAGTGTCACTGGCCCCATGAATTCTGCTCCCAAACCATTCACCTCTATTGCTGGCAGGAAAAGAAGTCACTCAGAACTTCGAGCTGACTCCTACTGAAGTCCATTTGATACAGAGAGATTATCACTCTCCCTCCCTGACTTCTCTTCTCTCCTACAACTTTTGCTAGCAAACCTGTCTGCCTCTCTATCTCTACGAGTACCTGATGAGAACACTTTCTGCCATGAGGGAATGTTCTTTACTTGGATACCATTGGCAGGTATGAAGCATTGAATTATGGATGGTGGGACTTAAACACTGAATTTAAATGTTATTATTGAATTTTAATCTATTCAACTGAATAGGGCGAAGTGACGGGATCACCCTATTCTACCACACAGGGACATGTGAGGCATCGTTCAAATTATAACCCATTTTGTCTCCAGAGAGAAGACTTCAACACCTGTGCAGGCTCAGAGTCTCAGGTGAGGCTTAATGCTTCACTTGGAAAATCCTGTCTGATCCATCTCGGCCTACAGATACTGTCTCAGGAAGAGCCATGGCCTCAATTTCAGGGATCAGGAAGATGAGGGAGGAAGCCACGTGCTCCATCTGTCAGCAGCTTATGACAGAGCCTGTGAGCATCTACTGTGGGCACAGCTTCTGCCGCAGGTGCATAAGTAGCTTCTTTGGTCAGAGTCTCCATTGTGCGTTTTTTGTGATGATGCGTCCCTGTCCCTTGTGTGGAACATCATTTCAAAGGGAGAGTCTCCACCCAACAGACTGCTGGAAAACCTCATTGAGAGCATTAAGGAGCTGGAGCATGAGAAGCTGTGTGAGGAACTTGGGGAGCAGCTGTACCTGTTCTGTGAGGATAATGGGCAGCTCATCTGCTGGCGCTGTGAGCGCTCCCCCCAGCACAGAGGACACAGCACGGCTCTAGCGGAGGACGTATGTCCAGGCTACAAGGTGAGTGAGTGGCCAAACCTGTCAGCAAGTACTTCCTCTATGGTACACATTTTTATTGAAATTAGTTAGTCTGAACACCAAGATTGTGACCCTAAAAATGTTGTTTCCATCACATTATTTTCTGAATAATCGTTGATTATGATCCCAGTGAGTCAGGTCCTGATGATCTATGCCAAACTTCAGGGTTGGTCAGAACCCATTTCTGTAACGAACTTTTCCTGACAATACAGTGTGCTCTTTGCCACACCAGCCCTGTTCAAGGCCTCACCTCGAATATATAATTGGAGACACCACAGCGTGCAAGAGCATAGGAAATCATCTAAAATCCCAGTGGTCAGAACCACCAACTGTTTTACAGCCTATAGCACGAGGAGTAAGAAAAGGAACACTGGATACTGACGTCCCTTGGTGTGGGTGATGAGGGGGAGCACCAAGGGGTGCCAATGGGTGTAGGTAGGGAGACTGCCCAGAAGTGAGTCCTGACAGGAAAATATAAATAACCCTGTGTGGAAAAAAAACAGGATCCACTCAGGCAGACCACCTGTCACGACAGCTTGCCTGACAGTCTAGTACCTTGTCAGGGGGTGTGTGATGGGACCGTCAGGTGAGGGCATGAGAAAGGGAGTCAAGGAAAGAACTTGAGTGTCACTCAGAGTCTACTGGTCCACAGTGGGGATTTATTTGTGGAGGGAAAGATCAGGCTGACATTTAAAAGAACATTCTGCATGCACAAAATAAACATCAAGGAATAAAATCGAAATTAGTCCTCTAATAAAAGGGGATGGAAACAGGCGTTAGCAAGGATTAAGGAGTTAAAGGTTTTCAAAATAATTGGTGAGGGCCTCTCCGGTGGTGCAACGGGTTGAGCGCAGTGCTGTGAAGCTGTCCGCAGCCTCTGCATCACCGGTTCAATTCCTGGCCGGCCAGCGAGATGCCCACATGGCCTGGCAAACCTCGCCTGTCTTGCCCGCTGCTCCCCGCAGCAGTACTTTGGTCGATCTGCCTGTTCTACTCCCTACTCTGTCTCTGGTGAATTCTCTCACCCTCCCGCGCCTCTGGCCTGTACCCCAGTGCGTGTATAAATAAATAAATCTTTTAAAAAATAAAATAAAATACTGAGGACATAAAAACATTGTTCTAAATAAAAAAGAAATAATTGGTGAGTGATGAAGCCTTGAGAGAGGTTCAGGCAACTCCTATGTTTCTCACTCAGTAGCTCTGAGTAAAGACGCCCTTTGCTGCACAGGAATGAAGAAGTGGGAATCATTCCTCCTCTGTCCTGTTGACATTTGAAGGAAAAGTCCCATGGGGCCTGTGTCCCCTCATCCTTCAGGTCCCCGTGTCTTCTGTGAAGGTTCTGGATCCAGTATCAGGGTGTGTCAGTCCTGAGCACCACTCAGTGCACTCACGTCCTCCTGTAACACCATGCGCAGCTCATCACTGTGATGGGGCAGATCCCATAACTTTCCCACCAAGCAGTAAAAAATAAAGCAACCCAAGGTGATGGACGTAGCCTCAGGAATCAGACTTTGGTGGTCAAAACTTAGTCGAAGTTTCACATGAAGCACTGGGCTCTCCCCACATTGCGACATGTCTCTGAAGGCTCTTCTGTGTCCCCACCCCTCTCAGCCCTGAGCTCTGCATGATCCCCTCCTTCACACAGCAGGTGCCAGGGGGCAGTGATCACAGGACAGACCCTGTCATGAGCTTGTCTTTGTCTGCCTGCTGCTGTGTGTGGGTGGTTGATTCCCTGTGGGGTCCCTCGTCCTCTTTCCTGGCCCTTTGACAAGACAACTTGGGATGAGCTGTGCCCGGTGCAGAGTCTCATCTATGACAGTGACAGGGGAGGGAGAGGCAGGAGTCACTATGGGATCAGGGACCCAGGGTCTCAATCTCCCTCTGTCTGTGAGCTGCATGCCTCAGGAGGGGTGTCCTGTCCCTGTGAGGGGTCTGTCCCCGACTGTCCCAGGTCATGATGAGATGTTAATTTGTCCCCTTTGTTGTTGCTCTGAAGGAAGGGTGCTGTTCCTACCAGACCCTCTAGTCAGAATTCCTGAGTGTAAAACTTCTGGCATTTTGACAAGTCTCCTCCCTCATCTACCTGGACCTGCCCCACATCCATTTCATTTCTGAGTTGACTCTATCAGAGGAACTTCCCTTCTAGGAATCTGGAATCGGAGCGGCTGGCATAGATTTTGTGACTGACTGCCCTGTGGGGAGGACTGAAAAAGTCCAGGCCAAGGTTTGCTCTGGGGTGGACTGTGATGTCTGTGTGTGTGCAGTGGGAGGCAATAAGAAGAGCTCAGCCAAGTCAAATTGGTCAGGACTTGCTTTCTAGCTCTCTTCCCCTCTGCTTTCACTTTCAAGACTCCATTTCCCCTCTCAGATCAGGGTGTGAGGTGAGCAAAGGGCAGGCACTTGGGGTTCAGAGGAAGGGCATCCCCAGGAGCACAACCCCAGGCATAAGGAAGGCTGGTGCAGCCCCTGGGAGAAATCCCCTCCGTGGGAGAGCAGTCTGCAGAGACGTGCTCTGGCTCCGAGGGCTAGTCCTGAAAATAGGGGGAAATAATCTATCCAGTTCCTTGGGTTGGATCTGCTTTTAGTCCAGGCCCTGTGCACCTGTCTCTCTGCTCACCCTCTGCAGCTCTCCCGCTGGAGTATGGTCTCCACATAAACTGGATTAACCTGGAACCCCTTTTTCTCTGAGAGTTTTAGGGAGTCTTGAGGACCAGATGTGGGGTGTGAGGAGAGTCAAGTGTCACTGACACCATGCACTCTGCCCCCAAACCATTCACCTCTGTTGTTGGCAGGACAAAGAAGTAACTCAGAACTTGGGGCTGACTCTTCCGAAGTTCATTTGACACAGAGAGACTATCTCTCTCCCTCCCTGACTTCTCTTCTCTCCTACCACTTTTGCTAGCAAACCTGTCTTCTTCTCTATCTCTCCTACTACCTGATCAAAGAACACTTTCTGCCATGAGGGAATGTTGTTCACTTGGATATGGTGGGACTATTGGCACTTGGATATTGGCAGGTATGAAGCATTGAATAATGGCTGGTGGGACTCAAACATTGAATTTAAATGTTATCATTGAATTTTAATCTAAACTGAATGGGGCAAACGTGGCAGGGTTCAACCTATTCTACCACACAGGGATGTGTGAGGCATTTTTCAATCCATTATGTCTTCAGAGAGACTTCAACACCTGTGCAGGCTCAGAGGCTCAGGTGAAGCTTAATTCTTCACTTGGAAAATCTTGTCTGATCCATCTCTGCCTACAGATAATTTCAGAAAGAGCCATGGCCTCACTTTCAGGGATCAAGAGGATGAGGGAGGAAGCCACGTGCTCCATCTGCCTGGAGCTGATGAAGGAGCCTGTGAGCATCCACTGTGGGCACAGCTTCTGCCGCCAGTGCATAACTGCCTACTTTGGTAAGAGTCTCCATTGTGTGTTTATTGTGATGATGCGTCCCTGTCCCTTGTGTGGAACATCATTTCAAAGGGAGAGTCTCCGACCCAACAAGCCGCTGGAAAACCTCATTGAGAGCATCAAGGAGCTGGAGCGTGAGAGGCTGTGTGAGGAACACGAGGAGCGGCTCCACCTGTTCTGTGAGGACGACGGGCAGCTCATCTGCTGGCGCTGTGAGCGCTCCCCCCAGCACAGAGGACACAGCACGGCTCTAGTGGAGGACGTATGTCCAGGCTACAAGGTGAGTGAGTGGCCAAACCTTTCAGCAAGTGCTTCCTCTTATGTTGCACATTTTCATTGAAATTAGTTAGTCTGAACACCAAGATTGTGACCCTGAAGAGTTGTTTCCATCATGTTATTTTCTGAATAATAATTTATTATGATCCCAGTGAGTCAAGTCTTGATGATCTATGCCAAACTTCAACATTGGTCAGAACCCATTCTTGTAAGAACTTCCTGTGATGAACTTCTGGACAATACATTGTGCTCTTTGCCAACCTGCCTCATTCATGGCCTCATCTCGAATATATAATTGGAGACACCACAACATGCAAGAGTACAGGAAATCATCTGATCCCATAGGTCCGAATCTCTAACTGTTAGATAGCCTCCAGTCTACAAGGATTAACAAAAGGAACACAGGCTGCCTCATGTCCCTTGGTGTGGGTGGTGAAGGGGGGAACTTAAGAGCCTGAATGGGTATAGGGGGAGACTGCCCAGAAGTGAGTCCTGACAGGAAAATATAAATAACCGTGTGGAGAAAAAACAAGATTCCACTCAGGCAGACCACCTGTCACAGCAGCTTGCCTGACCTTCTAGTACCTTGTCAGGGTGTGTGTGCTGGAACTGGCAGGTGAGGGCATGAGAAAGGAAGTCGAGGAAAGAACTTGAGTGTCACTCAGAGTCTACTCGTTCACAGTTGGGATTTATTTGTGGAGGGAAAGATCAGGCTGACATTTATTTATTTATTTTTTTTTAACTTTTTAAAAAAAATTTATTTATTTATTTACACAAGCACTGGGTACACTCAGAAGTGCGGGAGGGTGAGAGAATTCACCAGAGCCAGAGCGGGGAGCAGAGCGGGCAGAAGGACCGAAGTACACTGCTGAGGGGAGCAGCGGGCGGCAGGAGAGGTCGCGCGCCATGTGGGACCCTCCTCCTGTGGCCGGGGAGCAGCTGGGAATCGAACCGGCGCTGCAGAGGCTGCGGGCAGCTTCTCAACCCAGTGCTCAACCGCTGCGACACCTGGGAGGCCCCCAGGCTGACATTTAAAAGAACATTCTGCGTGCACAAAATAAACATCAAGGAGTAAAAACAAAGTTAGTCCTCTAAGAAAAGGGGATGAAAACAGGTTTTAGCAAGGATCATGAAGGACAGTTAAAGGTTTTCAAAATAATTGGTGAGTGATGAAGCCTTGAGAGATGTTCAGTCACCTCCTAAGTTTCTCACTCAGTAGCTCTGAGTAAGGCTGCCCTTTGCTGTGCAGGAATGAAGAAGTGGGATTCATTCCTCCTCTGCCCTTGTTGACGTTTGAAGGAAACATCCCCAGTCGGGCTCTGTGTCCCCTCATCCTTGAGGTGCCTGTGTCTTATGTGAAGGTTCAGGATCCTGTGTCAGGGCTTGTCAGTCCTGAGTACCCTCAGTGCACTCACCTCCCCCTGTAATGCCATGAGCAGCTCATCACTGTAATGGGGCAGATCCCGTAACTTTCCCACCAAATAGTAAAAAATAAAGCAACCCAAGCTGATGGATGTACCTCAGGAGTCAGACTGCGGAGGTCAAAATCTAGCGAGAGTTTCAGTTCTTACTAGATGGGATCAGTGAGCAACTTAGTTATTGCCTACATGACTTGGTTTCCCCATCTGTCAGTGGAGATTGCAGTGTCCCCTCCCAGCCCCCCACCCCCACACACAGCGGAGGTTGTCATAAGCTATAAATACATTCTTGATGTAGAGTTGAGAATAGCACTGGGCTCAGAGCAAGAGAAAATCAGTCTTTTGCTAACTAGATTCCTCACACTTTCTTGAGAGCACTGTGTTGTTATGAGTATATTTAAGAGTTTGCAGAGAGCAGGAGCAATTCTTTTACTGTGGACCATGACTAGCAGTTTAGTAAGCTTCAGATTGCTTCTCTTGAAAATGTGAGAAAGTGTTTGAAAAGTAACTCTACAGCTGGATGAGGACACTAAACACTGTAAGTTGCTGTCATGACACTGTTCTTCAGGTGATACAGGGCTCTCCCTCCATGACCTGGTTCTGTAACTTCAGCTGCCATCCTAGGCTCTCCTTCCTGACTCACCATAAGATGTAAAATATCCCACGTGTTTCATACACTCTGTAGTGTTTATTACTGGTCCAACACATTATTTTATAAAACATACTGTTAGGTTATTATAATCCTGTTCTATATGCAACATGTCCTGGAAGGCTGTAGTGGTGGTTGTATTTCAGGCTCTGGGTCAGCGGATGAGCTGGGAATTACATCTCAGCCACCTTTCAGTGATGGCCCCATTGGAAGGTTACTGCTCCCTTCCTAAGCCTCCACTTCTACAGCACAGAAAGATGTTACAATCCTAGGAACTCTATCCGTTATGTTACAGCCCTCATAATTTTGTCCTTTGTTAAGGCCTGAAAATATATTCAATGTTAATTATTTATTGGCAGTTGCACCCTGTAGGTGCCAAGTGAAGGTTTGTGAAATTGACTAGTCGTAACTCAGCCCTTTTTCCTTCAGGAGAAGCTCCAGGAAGTTGTGACAAAACTGAAAGCACAGAAAGATACATGTAAGAGTGCAAAGTTGTTCACGAGAGACCAAATGACAAAATGGGAGGTAAGAATTTGAGTTTATTGACCTCAAGTTATTTTCTGTCCTTGAATTTAAAGAGAGGCGATAACTGGGAAAGTATTAGGCTGTTCATTCTCTGTCCACCAGAGCACAGATCAAACTCAAGAAGAATCCATTTTTTTTAGTTTTAATACTACTAGTTGTCTATATCTATGAGAATTTATCTCCATTTTCTTCAACCTTTCAATAATAATTGCGTAGTTGTCCTGTGCCTCTGTCAGGAGACGAGAGTTGGTATGTCTGCTAACCTGGAACCCAGAACTTGACTGGATTTCTATTTTTAAAATCTTTTTTTTTTTTATTATTATTTTTTTTTAATTTTTCTAGAGGCATGTTTTTTTTTATTTATTTGTTTGTTTGTTTTGTTTATACATGCACTGGGTACAGTCAGAAGCGCAGGAGGGTGAGAGAATTCACCAGAGTCAGAGCAGGGGGCAGAGCAGGCAGAAGGACCGAAGCACACTGCTGAGGGGAGCAGCGGGCAGCAGGAGAGGTCTGCGCACCATGTGGGACCCTCCTCCGGTGGCCGGGGAGCAGCCGGGGATCGAACCAGCGCCGCAGAGGCTGCGGGCAGCTTCGCAACCCAGCGCTCAACCGCTGCGCCACCTGGGAGGCCCTGGATTTCTATTTTTAACAACTCAACCTTTGAAGGCCTCGACCTGCTGACATAGGCAAATTTATCTACTATATTTTCGAACTTCACCTGCCAGGTTTAGAAATCACCTTTGGGAGCCTGAAAATAGGATCACTGCAGGTGAGATTTTATTACTCAAACTTGCAGAGCTCATGAGGAGGCTGAGAACTGCTTCAATAATGCACTTGAGGGCCTCCCCCGTGGCGCAGCGGTTGAGCACTGGGTTGCGAAGCTGCCCGCAGCCTCTGCACCGCTGGTTCGATCCCTGGCTGCTCCCCGGCCACAAGAGGAGGGTCCCACATGGCACGCACACCTCTCCTACCACCCGCTGCTCCCCTCAGCAGTGTACTTCGGTCCTTCTGCTTGCTCTGCTCCCCGCTCTGGCTCTGGTGAATACTCTCACCCTCCTGTGTCTGACTGTACCCAGTACTTGTATAAATAAATAAATAAATCTTAAAAACAAAAAAAAGAATGCATTTGAGGGTCTCCCCTGGTACTGCAGCAGTAGAGCGCTGGGCTGCGAAGCTGCCTGCAGCCTCCTCAGTGCTGGTTCAATCCCCCGCTGCCAGCGAGGGTCCCACATGGCCGCTGGCGAGGATCCCACCTGGCATGCAGCCCTCTCCTGCCACCCGCTGCTCCCCTCAGCAGTGTATTTCAGTAAATCTACCTGTTCTGCTTGCTGCTCTGGCTCTGGTGAATCCTCTTACCCTCCCGTGCTTCTGACTGTACCCAGTGCTTGTATAAATAAATAAATAAATCTTAAAAAAAAAAAAAGAATGCACTTGCACTACAGACTTGGGGTGTAGCACAATGTCATGGTCAAACAAGGTATGAATAGAGAAAGCACCAAGTGAAACTACAATTCTGTATGTCCCAAATGAAAACTGAGACCTTCAGGGTGGGTCATTTGATTTCCGTCAGTCTTAGCCATAATGATGATAGTGAATCCTCTCTTGGTGGATAATTATTTCTGGAATCTGTGATCAAAGCCTGTCACCTAAACTGCCCCCCTGCTGAGGCTGAGAATCATAGACTCTTCTACCAGCCTGGACATCTTAAATTCAGGATTGGTTATATTTATCACAAGCCTCTGTTTGAAGATTCACATTTACCTTCTAACATCCCCTTCAACCCTTGGTTTTATCTCTATAAATGATCAATTATTTGACCTTGACCTATTTCCGTGTGTGTGTATGATTTAGCTTCCTGCCCCACGTTCTCCTGCAACTTGACTAAGGAAAAAGGAGATCAATTAGACCACCATAGACAGTTGAGTAACCCTCTCCCACACTTCGCTGCCTGCTCTCAGGCTTGACATACAGCGGGGAACTGGACATTCAAATGATGTAGGGGATAATAATATCACAGAAACTGAGCATGTTTCCTGGTGTGTGTGGGTGTGTTAAAATAAACATAACAACATTGGGGCCTCGCTGGTGGCACAAGGGGTTAAGACGCAACCTATGAAGCTATTCACAGCCACTGCAGCACAAGTTGGATCCTCGGCCAGTGAGACACCCACATGGTGCAGCAGACCTTTCCTGACTCTCCTGCTGCTCCCCTTAGCAGTGTATTTCAGTAGATCCACCTGTTCTGTTCCCCACTCTGGCTCTGATGAATCTTCTCAACCCCCTACATGTCTGGCTTGTATCCCCAGTTCCTGTATGCATAAATAAACCAATCTTTAAAGAAATAGAACATAAAATGCTGTTTTAACACTTTGTGAATGTAAGTTCATCAGTGCTTTTACACTATTGTGCAACCATTTTCACTCTATCTGCAGAACTTTTTCGTTGTTCCCAACTGGATCTCTGCACCCATTAAGCAATACCCATTGCTCTCTCTTCAAAACTCCTGGTAACAGGGGCCTCCCTGGTGGTTAAGGGGTTAAAGTCTCAGCACTATAAAGCTGTCTCTAGCCACAGCAGCATGAGTTCAATCCCCAGCCAGGGAGCTAGCCCACATAGGGCACAGAAGACCTTTCCTGTCTTTACCGCTGCTGCTCCCCTTAGTAGGGTATTTTTTTTTTAAATAGTTTTTGAGAATTTTTTTTTAAAGATTTATTTTTATTTATTTATACAAGCACTGGGTACTGTCAGAAGCGCAGGAGGGTGAGAGCATTCACCAGAGCCAGAGCAGGGAGCAGAGCAGGCAGAAGGACCGAAGTACACTTCTGAGGGGAACAGCGGGCGACAGGAGAGGTCTGCGGGCCATGTGGACCGTCCTCCCATGTGGGACCCTCCTCCAGTGGCTGGGGAGCAGCCGGAGATCGAATAGGCGCTGCAGAGGCAGTGGGCAGCTTCGCAACCCAGCGCTCAACTGCTGCGCCACCGGGTAGGCCCTTAGTAGGGTATTTAAGAAGATCTGCCTGTTCTGCTCCCCACTCTGTCTCTGGTGAATCTTCTCACCCCCACACCTCTGGCCTCCATCCCAGTTTTTGTATGCTAAATAAATAAAAATAAATCTTTAAGAAAAACCACTCCTGGTAACCATCACTCTACTTTCTATGCCTGAATTTGATTAGGTACTTCATGTTAGAATAATATTGCAATGTGTGTCTGACCAGCTTCACTTTTCATGTCTTTAAGGATTCATCCTTGAACATATATGGAGCTTTTCCTTCCTAAGGCCAACAGATTTCAAAATGTGATACCACATTTTTTGACTCATCCATACAATAGCATTTGGTTTGTTTTCCCCTTCTGAACACACTTTCTGTATTTTAGGAGAACATAGAGCTTCAAAAACAGAAAATCCAGTCTGACTTTGAGAATCTCATCAACTTCCTGTCAGAGGAGAAGATGTACCATCTGCGAAGACTGGAGAAGGGGAAAGAGCAGACTCTGGACAAACTGTGGAAGAATAATAACTGTCTGAAAGAGCAGAGCCAGGAACTCAAGAACCACATCCTGCAACTGGAGGAGAAATGCCAGGGCTCAGCCCAGAACTTGCTGCAGGTGAGCTGTGCCCGGGAGGACATAGAACAGGGATCTGTTGCTGGGGTGTTACCAGGGACAGGGTGAGGAAGCATGGGGCATCTGGCACAGCCCTTCTGCCTCATTCAAAAGAGCACACAGGTGTTGGGAAGTTAAAGGAAGATTTCTTTTAGTACACATCTGTATGCGCAGAGAGGCCTCTGCTGTCTGGAGGGTAATGTCAGACACTACAGCTCCCTCCAGCCTCCACGCAGAAGACAACAGACTTCAACATGCTGGCAGCTGAAGTCCTAGGAGACTGGGGTGGGCTCGTCCTCCTGGGAGTGCCTGGGTATCTCAGGCTGGGGTCACTCTTTACTTCTTTATAGCCCCACATAATAGACACCATGAAATATGAGTGTGTGGCACTCACCTCTCACCTTTGTCTCTGCAGGGTGTAAAAGACACCTTAAGCAGGTAAGTGCTGAATGAATACAGTGGGAAAGTGGGCTGGGTGTATAGAGCTGAATAGAATTTCCCACTAAAAGTGTCCTTGGTCTTTGTTTCTTCTAGGAGTTCCGCAGTGAAGCTGAAAGTACCAAAGCCTGTCTCTTTAAAACTTCCTGCTGTCTGCAATGTTTCTGAGCTTTACTTTGACATGAGGAAAATATTGAGGAGCTACCAAGGTATGGAATGTCAAGAATTTCTTCAGTGCTAAAGATGGCAGGGACCTAAAGAGGTAACCAAGTTCACCCTCTGTCCATGGGCAGACTCACAGCCAGAGAGGTGATTTAGTTGTTTCAATGGAGCTGTCACCTCCTCCGTACCAGGATACTCCAGGCCTTACACAGGACTTAACGATGCATGCAGATGCCTCAAATGCCTGTTTCCATTTCTTAGTTGTGTCAGCTAAGGAAAATCACCTCTTCATTTTTCCTTAGGCAAAAAAATGAAATTATTAACAGTTCCCACTTTGATGGATTGTCATGAAAATTAAAAACATTGACATGTAGGAAGTGTTTCCAAGACTTTTTAACTGTTAACCTCAGCACAATGCAAGAAAGGTGATTATTATGAACAGGGTGTGTATGGTTTTAGGGCCTGATCTTGATACCCCCATAAATGTCAGAATTGGAATGAAAACCAGTTTTACCTACACCGAAGCATGAGCTGCCCTCTGGCTCTTGGCTCTCTTCTTCAGTACTTGTCATATCTCTAATCCCTTATCCACAGTTATAAAATTGGAATACCTCTAAATACTAAACTCTTTTAATAATTCATCTGACTGCAATTTGAGAGCAAATCTGAAATGTTAGATTGGTCTTCTTAAAAGAGCTTTTTTTTTTTCTGTTTTATTTATTTGTGCGTAGAAGAAGTGGGATATAGACCGAAGGTGCACAGGGTGAGGGGATTCACCAGAGACAGTGAGGAGCAGAACAGGCACATTGAGTGACAAACAGTGCTAAGGGGAGCAGCAGGCAAGACAGGAGAGGTCTGCTGAGCCACATGTGGGTTAGCTCTGTGGCCAGGGATCAAACTCAGGCTGTAGGGGTGACAGCGCTGAGACCTAACCCCAAGGCCAACAGGGAGGCCCTCTTTAAGCTGCTGAAGCTTTTCCCATCTTCAATTACTTTCATGCTTCCCTGATCTATCAATTATGAAGAGAAGAATGTTAAAATGTTTCATGATGGTTATAGAGCTTCATATTTCACCTTGCAATTTTTTTTTTTAAAGATTTGTTTTTATTTATTTATTTATACAAACACTGGGCGCAGTCAGAAGCACGGGAGGGTGAGAGAATTCACCAGAGACAAAGCAGGGAGCAGAGCAGGCAGAAGGACCAAAGTACACTGCTGAGGAGAGCAGCGGGTGGCAGGAGAGGCCTCTTTGCCATGGGGGACCCTCCTCCGGTGGCGGGGGAGCAGCCGGGGAGCAGCCGGGGATCGAACCGGCACTGCAGAGGCTGCGGGCAGCTTTGCAACCCAGCGCTCAACCACTGCGCCACCTGGGACGCCCTCACCTTGTACTTTGGTGATTTTTTGCATTGTTTGTTTTGAGATGACATTACCAGTACTTGTGTTTGGACTTGTGATTTTTCCTAGTGACCTCCATACTTTTAAGGTGATTCCTTTCTACCCTGACTTAATACAGTGTGGTATCATTGTATAACATAACATTGTATAACCGTCCTATGTCTGTTTGTTACTAGTGCTGCTTACAAATAAATGTGGGTGGAGTTTCAAGAATCCAATTGATATCTTCTCTTTCAGTATATTTCACTTTCCAACCTCAGAATATTTTAATCTGTCCACTTCGGTTTTCCTGTATTGTTCAGATAACGTGAATTGAAATTGCAAACTTCTATGAATCAGGACAAAATATGGGCTGACTAAAGAGAGTTGACTAAAGGAGTTATTTCAAAGATGTGTGTTAGGATAGCAAATAAGGACAAGTGAAGGCCCCAGGACTAGGAGTAGGTAGGGAGCCATCCTCTGTCCTGGGCTCAAGTGCTGGGAGAAGGGGGGCAGGGATAGCAGAGAGTGTCCAGAGGCAGAGGAATGGAAGACCCCCCCCCCAGTCACAGCCAGTGGAGTACAATTAATCTTATCTCTTGTCTCTGCTTCTGTTTGCCTGGGTCTCCTCTAGTGCTTCCCATTGGCTAAAGCAAACACAGGTCAGAATAGAGGGATCCTGGCTGATGTGTCCACAGGGGTCTGCTTTAGGGAACAGAGCAGGTAGGGAAGGTGGGGAGAGACCTCCACTGAAAACAAAGGTGTCAGCACAGCAGATGTTTCTATACTTGATTTCTCTTATCACCACCATCCAAGCAACCAGTGTTTAACGAGTATCTCTGCGGAGGCTGGCTTCTCGGTAGAGCATTCCATTACCACTTTGTCTTTTTTAAATTTCATTCTGGCCAGAATTAAACTTAAATTTATAGTATTATTTTTGTATTTTACTTGACTCTTCAGATCATTATTGTGTCTTAGTGTACCACCTTATACTCACACCTGTGAAACTTTATCTGAAGCATGGAAAAAAAGCTTATCCTTACAAGCCATTGGACTAAAATGTGTCCTGAGGCCTGGGTAACATACTGGGGCTGTTATACCAAGCTATGCTATGAGCTCTGTTGTTCTCTTGTTGATCCTGAGAGTTGGTGATTGTTTCGTGAAGATGGGAAGGGATCTTTGTGCCCCAGTATTCCATGGTACTTAGTGGTCCTACTTGGGAGAGTCCCTCTGGGAGAGGAAAATCACCTTGTCCACTCTGGGCAGTTCTGGTCCTTGCCGTCTCTGAGTGACAAAGATGGCGATGATGCTGGTAAGGGTGGTGGTTGTGATGGGGTTGATGTCACTACTACCACTTATTGATTGCTTACATATATCACAAATTTCATCAAGAACTAAGCATGTATTAGCCAATCAATTCTTCCCACCATTCTTTATGACAGATAGGACAATTTCTGCTTTAGTTTTCACCCTCTCAAAACTGACTCACAGAACTAGTAAGACAAAGTTTGCATTTGAGCACAGACTGGTTTTACTTCAAGTAAAGTATATTCTCTTCATCACCAAAATGTCTTTTCTTTTTTCAGTCAGTGTGACTCTGAATCCCGATACAGCTCATCCTGAACTAATTCTGTCTGAGGATCGGAGACAGGTGACCCGTGGCAGCCCCCAGGAGAAGCATCACGATTCTAGGAGATTTAGTGTGTTACCCTGTGTCCTGGGCTGTGAGGGCTTCACCTCAGGGAGACGTTACTTTGAAGTGGCCGTGGGAGACGGAATGCAGTGGGATATAGGAGTTTGCCTGGGAAGTGTACCCAAGAACGCTGACGTGACACTGATGCCTCAGTCTGGATTCTGGGCCATCAGACTCAGCAACGGGAACTGCTATGAAGCTCTTACCTCTCCCCCAACTTCCCTTTGTCTGAGGGAGAAGCCTACGGTTGTGGGACTTTTTCTAGACTGTGATGCCGGACTTGTACACTTTTATAATGTGACAACTGGCTCCCACATCTTCACCTTTGAGAAATTCGTCCTCTGTGATACTATCTGGCCCTTTTTCCAGGTTTATCATTGTTCACCTTTGTTCCTGCCTCCTTCAGAGAAATAAGTAAGTACAGGAGCCAAGTCTTTTTGTTTAAACATCACAGGTAATATAAAATCCTGTGAAGGCAGTAATCAGATGTTTACTTCACTGCTTGTTCCCTTCACCTGTAATAGTACCAAGCACCCAGCGGAGTTTTAATAAATCTGCATTGACTGATGCACGTATAGACTCTAAAACACGGCAGATGATAGCCATGATCATAAATTGTTCTCTCCATCCCTCCTCATTGAGTTCAGATTTGGGTTTTGAAGACTTGTTGGCTTAAAAGCAGGGTGACAATAATCTAGAGGTCTGCATTCTCCCAGTTTGAAACCATTTAACTCACGTGTGGGGATGACGGGATGCTGCAGATATCTGTCAGCCACCTAAGGAATCCAAAATGGGGCCTCCCTGGTGGGGCAAGGGATTAAGACATAACCTATGAAGCTATCTGCAGTCACTGTAGCTTGTATTTCATCCCTGGCCAGGGAGCAAACCACATGGTGCAGCAGATCTCTGTCTTGCCCGCTGCTCCCCTCAGCAGTGTATTTCAGTCAGTCTCCCTGTTCTGTTCCCTACTCTGTCTCTGGTGAATCCTCTCACCCCCCACACCTCTGGCCTGTACCCCAGCTCTTGTATGCATAAATAAATAAATCTTTAAAAAAAAATCCAAAATGGCTGTAATTCTCTAAATAACGGTGTTATTACGTAACTGAAGTAATTATCACTGTGAAGCAAATTTAAATTTAGTGAAAGGGACACTGATGATACAGATTAGAGTCAAACTGAGGACGGGCCCTGGAGACCAGCATCAGATTTCTTTGAGGGACTGACTGGTCACTTACCTGAAGTTTCTGGCTTAGGTTTGTACATGGAACTTACATGCACAGAGAGTTCATAATTTTTTTTCTTACTAAAGGTGAGAAGACATCTACTTAATTTCCAACCATTCTGTTAACTAAAGGAGTTTGGTTTCTAACAACCTCAGTTCATAGATAAAGGAGAACAAGTTCCTACTGACATAGTTACACTTGGGTGAGTATGTGGTTTGTGTGTCAGGGCAGGCTCAGCTGCTCTCTTCTCTGCCGTGTCACTCACCTTCAACATGGAGTCAGCTGGCACTGGCTGATCTCGGGTGGCCTCATCTCTCATTCTGGCAGTTGGCAGGCTGCTGACTGTGGGGCCTTATCCTATAGCAGGGATAAGGCCTCTTTCATGTGATGATCTCAGGGTTATGAGAGAACCAAAGGGGAACAAATCTCCATGTACCAGGCTCCTCTGAAGCATATACTCAGGTCACATTTGTTAAATCATGTGCCCTGGCCCAGACTCTTGTTGGGAAAAAGTACAAAGTCACAAAGTCACAATTTAAAAGAAGTGCAACCAGAAATGGAATGAGATTAATTGGGGGCAATTTTTGCAATTTCGGTAAGATTTTGCTGCTAAAGGTCTGTACATTTCAACTAAGGGAGAGATAGAGATTCAGACCCATTTGAGGCCCTGGTCCTCAGCAGATTCAGCCTCAGTTTCTCCCCATATTTGACATCTATGAGAGTCTCTGGACCATGAATAATTCCATCCTTTTCTTGCCCCCACACATAGCCCACATACCCCAAATTCTGGGGGAATTATTCCTGCATTCACCACTCTTACACTTGACCCTCATGTACCCTGGCATTTCCAGCCTAAAGTGGCACCTGGGGCCTCCTGGTGGCGCAAAGGGTTAAGATGCAACCTATGAAGCTATCCGCAGCCATAGCAGCATGAGTTCAAGCCCCAGCTGGCCAGGGATCTACCCACATTGCTTAGCAGTCCTCTCCTGGCTCACCCGCTGCTCCCCTCAGCAGTGCATTTCTGTCAGTCTGCCTGTTCTGTTCCCCAGTCGTCTCTGGTGAGTCATCTCACCCCCCCCCCCACCTCTGGCCTGTACCCCAGCTCTTGTATGCATAAATAAATAAATCTTTAATAAAAAAGAAAGTGATAATAAAAAAATAAAGTGGGGTTTGGTTCTCTGGAACTCCCACATTGGGAAGGAGTTCTCAGAACTTGGAATTGGAAATCCAGAAAACTGCAAGTCTTTCACCTGTGAAAGTCCTTTCTCCACCGGTCACAAGGAGACAGCTTATGATTCAGAAAGATGTTTCATAGGTGCATTCATGAGCATGTGATTAGGGAAATATGCTAAATTCTTTGAGTTTATCCTAAATTTCTTCGGACAAGAAAACTGATCCAATGTGTCCAATTCTCAGAATCGGGTGTTGCCTGGTCACTCCAGTGCCGGGCAGGGGCGGAGACTGCAGACTGCTCCTTCCCACTGACTTGTATCTCAGCCACCCTTCCCAGACCTGGACTCTCTGAGTATGGTGGGAATGTGTGGGGTTGGCTAATTTTACACGTTGCTGCCACTCCTGAGGGCCTGTTTTGGTGAGATGGATTCACTGGGTCTGATGAAGAAACTAGGTGGAGATTAAAATAAGGTTTCCCACCTTCCAACGCAGAGCCTGATTTTGTTCAACACCTGATTTTCATTCAAAATGGACAAATGACACCAGCCATCTGGGCCTCAGTTTCCTCAGATGTGGTATTTGGTCCCTGCACAGGTTGCTGTGAGAAGTGTTCAGGCACATAGCTTGAGGCATATGAACAAGACATGGTCTTTTGTTGGTTTTTTGTTTTGTTTTTATATATTTTTGCATCGTTGTTCATTTTTGTACAATGTTTGCTCCTGATCTTGGGGGAAAGCTGCTAGTCTTTTACCATGTAGCTTGAGGTTGAGGGAACTGGTTGAGGAAGTGACCCTGATCTCTACTTTGTTGAGTGCTTTATAATGAAAGGAGTTTGGATTTTCTCTTTGTCTATTGAGATGATATTGGTTTCCTCCTCTGTTCTATTGATGTGTCGTATATTAAGTTAGTTTAAAAATGTTCAACTTGTCTTTCCTTCCCACAATAAATCCCACTTTGTCATGGTGTGTAAACTTGTTTATATGTTGCCAGATTCAGTTTTCTAATATTTTGTTGAGGACCTTAGTGCAAATATTAAAAAGAAATATTGTCTCTAGGTTTCTCATGATATAGATGTAGTTATCACAGTATTATTTTTTTTTAAAGATTTATTTATTTATTTATACATGCACTGGGTAGTCAGAAGCGCGGGAGGGTGAGAGAATTCACCAGAGCCAGAGCAGGGAGCAGAACAGGCAGAAGGACCGAAGAACACTGCTGAGGGGAGCAGCAGGCAGCAGAAGAGGTCTGTGCACCATGTGGCACCCTCGCCCGGCTGCCAGGGATGGAACCGGCCCTGCAGAGTCTGCGGGCAGCTTCACAACACAGTGCTTGACCGCTGCGCCACCGGGGAGGCCTCATCGCAGTACTATTGACTTCATCGGATGAGTTAGAATGTATCTCCTCCTATTTTATAAAATGTTTGTGAAATAAGATTAGTATTAATTCTTTTTTGTAAACATTTGGTAGAGTTCCCAGTGAAGACATCTATCTCTGTGATTTTCTTTGTGGAAATTCTGGATTGCTAATGCGTCATTATTAGTTGTCAGAACTCAATTCGTATTTTCTACTTTTTCTTAGAAAATGTTGTGGGCTTGCCTGGTGGTGCAGCGCATTAAGCGCAGTGCTGTGAAGCTGTCCATAACCTTTTCTGTGTGAGTTCGATCCCAGGCCAGCCAGGAGCTACCGATATGGCGCAGCAGACCTCTAATGTCTCGCCGGCTGCTCCCCTCAGCAGTGTATTTCGGTACATCTGCCTGTTCTGCTCCCAACTCTGTCTCTGGTGAATCCTCTCACCCCCCGCCCCACACCCCTGGCCTGTACCTCACTTCTAGAAAAAAGTTAGAAAATGTTGTGTAGTTTGGGTCATCACAGATTATCCGTTTCTCTGGGTTATGCAATTTGTTAGCATACAATTGGTCATAAAATTCCTTCATACTTCTTTTATTTCTGTAGGGTTGGGGTATTGTCTTTCCTTACTTACATGAGTCACTTCTAGCTTTTCTCTCTTTTTTCTAGGTTATTGCAGCTAAAAGATTTGCCAATTTTGTTGGTCATTTCAAAAGGCCAATTTTTGTTTAAATTGATTTTTTCCTTTATTTTATTAACCTCTATCAAAAAACCTTATTATTTACTTGCTTCTACTTAGGCTTGATTTGTTTTTTCTGCTTTCTTAGTGAGAAAGTTAACTTATTGACTTAAGATCTTTTAAGTTGATTGAAATAGCGTTTACATCTACAGGTTGCCTAAGCACTGCTGTTGCTGAATCCCATAATATTTTTTTAAAATAAATTTTCCTTTTTTTAAAGAAATATTTATTTATTTATTTATTTATTTATTTATTTATTTATTTATTTATTTATTTATACAAGCACTGGGTACAGTCAGAAGTGCGGGAGGGTGAGAGAATTCATCAGAGCCAGAGCGGGGAACAGAACAGGCGGACGGATGAAATACACTGCTGAGGGGAGCAGCGGGCGTGGCAGGAGAGGTCTGTCGCACCATGTGGGACCATCACCGTGGCCGGGGATCAAACTGGTGCTACAGAGGCTGTGGGCAGCTTCGCAGCCCAGCGCACAAGCGCTGCACCACCAGGGGAGGTCCTCCCATAATATTTGATGTGTTGCTTTCATTCTCTTTGACTGATTGATAATTTAGAGTGTGCTGTTTATTTTCCAACCTGTGCTCTCCTTGTGTGAGTATCATTATGTGTAAAAAAGTATATTCAGTGGTATCCCACATCTCTGAAGTTCTATTCGTTTTTCTTCATTGTTTCTTCTTTCTGTTCCTCAGAGTAGAAGGAACATCTTCTGGCTGCTCAAATTAGCTTTTGAGCACTTTTAGTAAAATTTCTATTGTAGTTCTCATAATTTAAGCTCCAGAAGTTTTTAAGGAGGATTATATTAACACACAGGGATCTCTGGCCCAGGGCCTGGCCCAAAGTAGGTGCTCAATAGATGTATAGGTGTGTTATCACCAGCTGTTCAGGACCAGTCAAGGAAAATTGTCCTGTTTTCACCTCATCTCATCGTAGAGTATGCTCTACTGAAAATCATCTATGCCATAAGAAAGAGAGGTGCACACTATTTGCAAAGGATGCTAAGACCTACATTGGGGAAGTCCTTTGTCCTAACCATCACTCTGAATTATCACACTCCTACTGTAACAGGGTGGGCCCCAGAAAAGGGGGAGTTTCCAGGTTCCCTGCCCCACCCAAGGAAGGGTAGAGCTGAGCAAGAAGAGAAGCTGCAGAAGAGACTGAGGAAGGAAGCAGGATGGAGCCAGAAGGAGACCTGGAGGAGGCGCATGGAGCCTAGAGAAACGTGAAGAAACTGTGCTTGTCTTTTGGTCGTGGACTGGGTGACACAGATGTGGGTGAAACCCATGGGGAGGTGACAATGGCAGCTTTTATCTTGATGTTGATTTTGCTCTTTTCCTTCCGGGCTTGTCTGGTTGTTTCTGACCCTTTTCTGTGGGTCCCCACTGGAAGATGCTTTAGACTTGTGGCAGGCTTTGGGGCCTTGTTCTGGGCCGATTCCATATGGATGGACTTTTACCTATGAGAGGACGGGTGCTTCCAAGGTGTGTGAAGTCAACATTTCCCTTCATGCTTCACGTAAAATGCCCCTTTGGTGGTAACCAACTGAGCAGCTGTCCCTGGGTAG